CAGTCCAAAGCCTGGAAAAAGCGTGACGGAAGAAATATAGTATCTACGTAATGATTAAATAGCCGGGAACCAATGTGACCATTCGCCTTAATGACTTGGGAACCAATTTGACCCTGACTATCAGTGAAATTTTTGCCTGGGGACCAATTTGACATCTCTGATTAGAAGAGCCAGCGACATGTACGATACGAGTGAAAAATTGCGATATGAACGAAAGTTGGCGACACTTACGAGGTGAGGCTTTTTTGGCTTTTTGATTAAAAGTGTAAATTAAAGGTTTATGATCGGTAAGAATATCAAAATCCCTACTCTCGAAGAGGAACCTAAAATACTTAATGGCCTCAAAGATAACAGTAAGTTCGCGATCATAAGCGCTATACCCCGTCTGTGTGGGTGAAAATTTGCGGGAAAAAAATCCTAATAGTTTCCACTGATTATCCTAAAATCGCTCCAGAGCAGCGCACATCGCAGAGTATGATGCGTCAGCGACCAAATGAATCACAGCCTCTGGAGAAGGGTGAGAAAAGAGAGTGGCTTTAGCCAAATCAGCTTTCGTCTTTTCAGAAGCCACTTCTGACTCGGGCGTCCAGGCAATCACACGCTTATTATTCTTGCGGGAGTTGCACGTGAAAACATTAAGTGGAGCTTGTGTGATTGCTGCGTGAGGTACGCTTTAACGGTAAATATTCACAAGCCCTAAAAAACGGCAAAGGTGCGCTACAGTCTTGGGCTTGAGAAAGCTTGACATAGCCTGGACTTTATCTTGTGTGGCGCGAGAGCTTTCTTTGCTGATAGAATAATCAAGAAAATTGAGCTCTGTTTTTAAGAATTAGCATTTACGTAAATGCAGGCGAAGGCCAAATTGTTGCAACAGGTCGAGATTCGCACGCATATGGTGAAGACGTTCCTCTGGACTAAAGGAGAAGATCAGGATGTCATCAACATAAACAAAAACAAAATAAAGTCCTGCTACTGCGCGATTAACGTACCTTTGAAATGACTGACATGCGTTTCTTACACCAAATGGCATGACTAAATACTCGAACAGTCCGAAAGGGGTAACCACAGCGGTCTTGGGGACGTCTGCGGATCCACTAGAATCTAATGAGCCTTATACAGATCAAGTTTAAAAAAATGGTTTTTCTATGAAGCGCAATGGAAAAATCGTGAAGGTGCGGTAGTGGGTATTTATCGGGGATTGTGACACTGTTGAGCGAACGATAATCCTCGCAGTTGCGCCACGAATCGTCTTTTTTTCATAAGACGGAGAGGACTAGCCCAGAGTCTGCTGGAGTGACGGCAGTAGCCTTCCAAAACTAGTTTCTCGAACTTTTCTTTGACTGCTTTGTATTTCTTGGGGTTCAGTCGACGAAGGCGCTCCGCATGAAGAGGACCCTTGGTGGGGATGTAGTGGAACATATCATGAGCACCAATAGGTTTTGCAGGTTTATCACCTATAACCTCCGGAAACTCAGCGAGGATACGGCTGATTTTGGAAGACATAACAACATGGACGGACAAAACTGTTGCGTCCTTCACAAAACCTTGGGCATACGTCAAACGGTCAGAAAGTATACGGCTTCTGAATTATAATGATAGGCTGAACTGATTCAGGCGATCATCTCCTTTTACAGGATAAGGTACCTCTGCAGCACCGAAACTCCATTTAATTGGATTTCTAAGACACAGATCAAGGCTTAATTCAAATTGACCAAAAGTCTTAATCATGAACTGTTCGCTGCGATGAGCTGCAGGTGCGTAGGGGTATAAACGGAATTGGGATTTCCCGAGATGAGTGAAACCTTGGATCCCGAATCTATGAGAAAAACAAGGCCTGACGCGTGATCACAGATGTGGAGGCGTTTTGATTTGCGCTTCTCGCCAATCGCCCCAACATAGTGAGGTTGATTCAGTTTTCCGGATCTTTCCAAGAGCACGGCTTGTAGTCACACCTAGCTTGAACGCCGAATGTACGATAAATGCGGCAAAGACCATCGCCTTCCTCCGTGAGCTTGCCCGAAGATTTACCGCAACCTCTGGAACAACTGCAAACTTTAAAGTAAAATGTGAAAGGTTGCGTGACAAGTTAGGAGAAGCTGATCCATGAAAACAGTACGAAGGATCTCCTCTCCGCATTGAGTATCAAGGCTGCGTAGCCTGTTTAAAGTTAGAGAGGGTTTGCCTCCAAGACAGACTTGTCCTTTTATTAGCTGGCGAAGGCGCTCCTCTGAAGAGCTGCCGAAAGTTGTTAGCAATCACTCTTTCACCTGTTCGTACAAATTACTTGATTGCGGTTCGGCAGTTATTAAATCCCTAATGGCTTGAATTGCCTCAAGATCCAATTTTTCAAGATCCATTTTTTATAAAGTCGGACTTAGTGATTAAAACGGTAATTCTGGCATTACGTAACGTTACTTCCGCTTGTACAAACCAAACGCCAGAATTGTCTTTACAAAAATTCGCGATTTTTGGTTGACGGTAAAAAACATTAACAGGTTGAGCCCCGATGTTCATATTGTCATTCTGATCGTTTCGCGCGTTTTATAGCTGCTGCACGCGATGCTGCGAGGCCGCAAGCTGAGATTTGAGATCCGTTATACGCTGTTCATCACTCATTTTTACCGCGAAGCTTGTGTAGAATATAACGCTGCTTGCTTCGCACGTGTGGAAAGTCAAACAACGCGCGAGATTCCGCGAAAACACAAATGCCATCCCTAAGGCCGAGTATGCTCGAGCAAGAGAGCAAAACTAAAAACACTAATGAACTGATTAATAAAAATAAATCTTACATTGCTACTGAAATTTTCTCACGTGCGTTCGCTGAAAAAAAGGATGCAGTGACGGTCGCTTGCCTCATGGTAAGAATGGTTTTAACTCTTAGTAAACATGAAAAATTTACGCAAGCAAAAATAAAATACCTAGGTTTTTTCATTTCAAACTTAGAATTCCTTAAATCAATTAAAACTATTTGTAGCTTGAACACGAAAAATAAGGAAAATAATAGTACATACACATGTAAGGTGCAAATTAAGGTAAGGTAAGGCCCAGTAGTGAAATGAAAATCGAGTAGGCATCTAATAATTTTTTGAATTATCACGAGTTAAAGCAATAAAATTATATGTGTAAAGGTTTTAACGACAAACTACGACTTCTAGTTTGTAATAATGTCGCAAATTTTATGATTATTATTAATGAACTATTAATTTTTTAAAGATATATAGTTAAAAGTACATGTTCGTATAGTGAATTACTTTGTAATCGCAATGTCCCAGTAGTGAATTACCACATGTCCCGGAAGTAGAATGATTATAAAATGATCGTATTATTTGATTTTTCTTTTTATTGTTTAACAATTTGATGTAACTTAACACATTATAAAGTATTTGCATTCTCTTTAAGACTAAATAATACTTGGCAGTACAATATTTTACTTTAAAAACGCTTAATTAAGTGATATTAAATGAAAAACTATTATAAGTATAAAAATAAATAAATTGCTTATGAAATAATTTATGATTCTTGCTTCACTTCTTTCTTAATTTTTGGATTTAAAGCTTTTATTCTATCCAATATCTTTTTTTCTCTTGATCTAATTTTTTTTCTGTTCCTGTAATTTTTTCTTTTCTGCAATTTTTTCTTCTCCGAGTTTTTGTTCCCTTTGTTTTTTTAAATGAGTATTCCACCATTCATCAGATGTTCCAGCTGCTGGGAGTTTCGGCAAACCTTTTTTTTCAAGTTTTGTTCTTTTTTTCTTGGGAAGATATTCAATTGGTACAGTGAAAGCATTTTCAAAACTCTTTTTTTTGTTCAACGGTTCCATCTGCTAAAAGAAAGTTGTCAGAGAAATTACGTCTTTTTACATATTCTTCATGATTGCTACACTTACTTTGATTGATACGTGGTTCAACATTTTCGTGTTCAGTTGCATATTTCGAAGTTTCAGGCACATTTGAGCATTCTGTATCTATGTTTTTACTGTTAACAGCATTATTATGACCATCGTTAGTCTTCATATTTGTACTAAACACAAGAACTGATGTTGGATTGTTCTCTGCAATACCTAAAAATGTCGTTCGTCAGTTCAAAGACTTTAAACGTCAAATGATCAACAAAAATAAATAACTTACTTGTGGCACTTATGTCTGAATCCAAGCCTGTATTATGATTAGATTTTGAATGATCATTTTTCTCAAAATGTTCTAAGACCTGATTATCCAGAACATTTTCCAATATAATCATGTTTTTATAAATATAATCATCTCGTAAGTCGACAGCTGGTGTGGCATTACTTTCTACATTATCGTTAACTATTTCATGTGTCCATTCAATTGACGCATTTTGTTAAAATTAAGTGGTACCACATGAACTGTGTGATTATTTAAGATTTCGAATGATTTAATCTTAAAATTCGTATTCAAATTAAGATCTAAAATTAAAAATAACGTTTGAATTAAAAATAGAAGTGTGACACGAAAAAGGTTTTGTTAAAGTAACTATAAGTCATATTATAAATTAAATCAATTAAAACGATTACATCTATGACATACAGTAAAAAAAAAGTTATAAAGTAAAATTAATACCAGATTTTTTGATTTTGAGCCAATACTGAAATAAAGATCTATCACTTAGATTACTTGGCCATGTTTTCATTCTCTCAGCATTTTGAAACTCTTAAAGTAATTCAGATAAAATGATTTTTTCAAATATTGCTAAATGCTGTTTATTAGCTTCCAAGTCCTTGCTTGACCCTTGTGCATCTTGACTGGTAGTGGGTTGATTTTGCTGGAAGCAACATTTTTTTTTTTTTTTTTTTTTTTTTTTTTTATTAAGCACGTCATAATCAACAGCTAGAGAATTGAAAGGCAAAAGCCCTGATGCTTGAAATCCTCGTAGTACTACATTTTGTTCTTGCTCAAAATTGTTTAAAGTCATTTCTAATGCAAGAAGAAAATCCTCTCTGGTCAATTTATTTAAGTTTTTTTTAACTTTGTATGTTGGAACTATTTTTTCCACATGTCTATAAAAGGATGAAAATAGGATATGTCCAAAGGTTGCATAGTGTGAGTACAATTGGGAAGCAATGCAATCAATTCAATTTGATGCTCTCTACAGAATGACACTAATGGAATGGTGACATGAGAGGAATGTCCATCAAGATACAAAATGACAGGAAATTCTATTTGTTGTTTTAATAACCAAGGATGGAAAACGTTTGTAACATATTCAAAGAAAGTCTCTGTAGTCATCCAACCGCTATCTGATGTTCCAATGCCCCAACCTTTGGGCGTATTTCCGACATTTTTTAGTGGTAAATTTTCAATATACTTGAACATTATCATTGGAGGAGTTCGGGTTCCCAAAGCACTGTAGGTAAATAAAACTGTTATAGACTCCTTACTTGCATCAGTGATGTTGTAGATATTTCTTGAACCTTTGGCTGCTAAGACTTTCTCTGATTCAGGGCAAAGAGGAACACTTGTTTCATCACAGTTATACACCCTTTCTGCACTAATGTCTAACAAGTGTTTTATCTCTAAATATTTTTGTTGTTCTGCAAACCAGTTTTGTAAGTCTTCCTAAGTGACTGAAGCTCTTCTGTTACTTAGTTGCTGAGGCTTTCTGATTGAGAGCTGTGGATGACGTTTCCTAAATGCTTCATACCAGTGTCGACTTGGACTATTGTTGATAAAAATAGTTTCTTCTCCCAGTAAATCTAAGCATGCTTTGACAGAGTCCAACAACTTAGTTTTTGTTACAGGGTAACCCCTTTCAGCTCTGTCAATAATCCAATCTACAATTTTTTGCTCTACTGTACTGCTCAATACTAGTGAAGGGCTTTTTTTTTTTTAAATCAACTCTGAGGGACATTTTTTTCTTCTAAATAGAGTAGCCAAAGGTACGTTATAGGCAGCAGCTGCTTTGTTAAGAGACAATCCAGTCTCAACTAAATGTAAAGCATTTTCCAAATCTTGTGCAGAGTACTTTTTACAAGATTTTACTTTTTTCTCCTTTATTTGATTACCAATTAACGCAACAGTGCCTTTTTTCCACACCTAACTACTTTTGTTAAAGTTTTGTTTTTGTTAGATTTTTTGTTTTTGTCAAAAAGTTTTCTTTCTTCTTTACTTTTAATCACCTTTTTTTGCAACTTACATGACGGTAGTTAATTAAGTACTACAAAAATAATTATAAGTTATTTCAGCACTTAATAAGAAGCATGTACTCCTGTAAACATAGCTTATAGGTTAGAATGAATTAAAACCTAATTTTTACAGTATCTAAATACTAAACTTACTTATTTATGGACCAAAAGATAAGAAAACAGTTGTTCTGTCAGAGGATAAGCAAATATATGTTGACAATTTCACTTTTTCGCAAAATACATTAAAAAACAATGAGCTTAAGGCTTCATTTCATCAATACGTACTCAAGGTGGGCAACTGTACCTAAATATGAAACGGAGTAAAAAGCCATCCCAATAATAAGGACATGCGAAAATAAGTTGTACATAAAGTGAAATGGCATTATATAAGAAAAGTCGTTTGTATTTACTGTAT